GACTCGGATTTGCAAAGATGAACCTAAGGAGAGATTGGGCAAAAGTAGATCTGCATCAAAATCTCACCATAGAGCTGAATAATTCCTATTCAGGTCGTCTTTTCGGATGAAAAGAAATTCAATCTGACGGAAACAAGCGGTACTGACGCGACTTGAGGAAGGAACCACTCTACTTCAGCCGTCGCAATTTCGGTAGAAGTCTATGGTGTTGGGTGCATACTGCAATGATGTCGTGTTGGATCTATCTGTCGTGAGCTGCAGTATGTATTGCAAGGATTACCAGAACGTCTTGGAGCATCATCTAGTACCCTTTCTATGCCATCGGCGTCATCTCAACTATGTCTTTCAACAAGACAACGCCTCCATTCGTGTGAGAAGTGCAACGGATGAGTGGCTGCAATGCCAATAAATATGCATCCTGCCACGGCCAGCCTGCAGTCCCGATCTCAATCCAATGGAACATATCTGGGGCATAATAGTCAGACAGGTTTCTACGAATAACCGTCAGTTCCAGGGAATAGAAGAGCTGAACCGGGCGATTATCGAAGCATGGAGAGCAATCGATGAGGAACTCTTCGAAACCTAGTTTCTAGTATGCCACGAAGGCTCTTTGATATTGCTCTTAAACAAGGAGGAGCTGTAGATTATTAACTGCTGTACTTATGCCATCAACATTAATAAATCATTTGCTTTCTCAGGGTGACCATATAATTATGAAACGGTGCAAAACCCGACACTATCTTTAAAAAATTCGTAAAAAATTCGAGGTGAAGGATACTGCGACCAAAATTTGGGTACGGAGGTACTTTGTGACGAGGAACCTACCGGTGTTTGAAAAAAAAATTCCATTCCGGCTGCTTTCTCCAGAATCGCAAAAATCTGGGGTGACCTTATAATTATGAAACGCACTGTATTAAGAAGTTCAGATCCGGAAGAAATACGGATGTCAGAATGGTGTCGTCTCCAATTTGGTAGTGCCAACACCTTCCCTCTAGCCTTTGCTCCATTCCAGCATGTATCTCGGAAGCATGAAACTTTGTTTCACTTCTACTTAAACATATTTCAGCACTCACAACCAGTCTAAAACCTCCATTAGCATGCGCAAAAAGTGAAAAAGGAAACGTGTGTGGCAACAACAAAGCCAATTAAACGAAAAGCTTCGAGACTGATTATTCCTCTTAGAACTCATCAAAGTGTTGTCAAAAGGGACATAATTACAGGACCGTTAAAGAGCGGATACTCATACGGGAATTTGGAGAAGAACAAGCTGGCAATGCAAAAATGTCCTCGTAGCAGCTGATTCTGCCGCTTTCTGGACACGCGGAGAAATCGAGGTTACGCCTATGAGCCTGAATCATTGCTTTATTCGGCCGGTAGACAGATGACATGGGAGAAAAAGGAAGGTGTTCGCAAAGTTATGGTTAGCTCGGGGAGCATAATATCCGAAAACACAACACCTTTTACATTCGCTGATGACGACAAAGGAAGTGTACCCTTGTTCACTAAATCTGGCACAATCCTGACATAAAACCACAGCTATCACCATCGAAGTCATCAATATTCGTCAATGAGCACGATTTCACTGTATAGTAGTATAAGGAATGTGACCATCTGATTGTCCCAACCTACATAAATCCAATGATCCACTTTTATTTAAGAAGTGTTCACAGTAAAATGTGTTTATTCGCTCAAAAGACGGTCTTTAGAGAAAAAGATGATTGCTGTATATGAGAGCAGCCCAGCATGTAAAGTTCAACATGAAGCGACAGTTCGCATGATAACAATAGTAGTGTCCACCTCCGTATTAGGTTGGCAACTAAGACCCGCTGCTGAGCTCCATTTGTCTTTCCGAAATCGTTAAATGTTCTTGGCATCATGTCACGGATCGTTCAATCATTTGATTTTGAGATGTTCTACCAAAACCTGAGTTTTATTTTCATTTTATTAATTTCCACGTTAATTCAAATTGATCTTAAATCATCGGAATGAAATGTAAGGCTGCAGAAAAAATTAACTCCTTCGAACCACCTTTTTTATTTGAATCAAAATTTCAAGTCTGGGAAAGGAAACTGCTTGCATCATCTGTAATGGTAAGGCAGTGAGCCTGTACTCACTCGCACCAGGATGCCAGTGTTACTGCCAAGAAAAATATCGAAGAACAAGGCATTGGCTGCTTTCATAGCCTGTCGGCGTGCGTGCCGGCGAACTATGAAAGCAGCCAGTGCCTCGGCACGCCGGCACGATCTTGTCTCTCTTTGTTTACAGCCCTTTGAAGGGGCTGACCGACTGTCTGCTTCCCTCCTCCCAACTGTGTGTAGTTAGTGTTTCAAAGATTAACAGCTATTGGCAGGATCATTCCATTCCGGGTATACAAATTTTTTCTCTTAGACATGACGAGGAACGTTTATCACTGAAGCCCGAGAAAATTTTCACGAAGTCGTTATGAAACCTGAGATGCCTCCAGCCGTAAGCCAGTATGAAATCATTTATCTATTTTAAGCTTGATGTAGCAGTTTATCTCGACGTCATCGCCACGTCTGTGAGAATCTGTCTGGAAAACTGATGGAAGCGGTTGTGTCTTTGGTTGGTCTGGAAAAGCAGGAAGCTTTATCAGAAGCCATGAGTAAGAATGTACGGCAGAGGTAATGTTTATATACTGCTCCGGCCCGCCAGATCCCTTGGCCAAACCGAGCAGTTCTATACAAGATCAATTACTCTACTAATATGAGATCACAGATGCCTGCACCAACAGCCCCCCCCCCCTTAAGATTGACGGTCCTGGTACGATTTGGCGTATGGTCAATCTGAAGGACGAGGCGTCCATACGGGTCGAACGACGCGATACAACGGCAGGAGGCGCTGGTGACGCAGTCGTCTCATCTTCGTCGTCCTTGTCGTGAGCAGGACTGTTTGGCCATTGGGGCAACGGTAGTGTGGATGACTTGACTGGAAGCGAGTCTGGTGAGGAATTGAATGGCATGTCAAATGCGTCTGTTAGATCAATTGTTTCTCCCAGTGAGTCACGCGAAGTTGATTGGAGTGGCGCTTCCAGATAGATCCTTACACTAACAAGTTGTACAGCGTACACCCGCCCGTAGAACATGCCCGGGAGACCATTTGGGTTGCCCGGAGCAGAAGTCGCGAGCGAAGACAACATCATCTGGTTTAAACTTCTTTGGCTTGGCACCATGCCGTCGGTTAAACTACATTTCCATAGCCATGTCTGGCCCAGCTTCTGACGCATGGCTAGCGTCGACCGATGAAGTTCTCTGCGGGAAATCGTCCATCTGTTACTGCGGTGCACGGGTGTCCCTATAAGTGCAGAGAAATGTGAGTATAGCATCCACAGCTGGTCCATTTCCTTTAATCTTCACGATTGAGCGCTTGAATGTGTCGACAAAGCGTTGTCCATTCGACTGAGGATGGAACGGCGGCAGCCAGACGTGCTCAATTCCATTGTTTCGGCAGAAATCCTGGAACTAGAGGAGATGCATCGAGTTCCGTTTTCTGAGACGATAGTCTGGGGAAGTTCGAATTGCGCGAATAGACGTCGGAGTCCCCTTACTGTTGCCACAGGGGTAGTGGAAGTCATTGGTATAATTACCGGCCATTCGGAGAAAGCGTCGACGGCCACTATGTAAGAAATACCCTCAAGTGGGCCTGCGAAATCAATATTAATTCGGCTCCATGGCGCATCCGGGCGAGACCACGAACAGAGTGTGTTTCTGACGTGTGACTTGGCGGTTTCCTGGCACGTGGCGCAGGTGCACGCGAGCTTCCTCGATTCGTCGTTGATCTACGTCCAGGATACGTAGCTGCGACCGGAAGCTTTCCGATTCATTCCTGGATGTCTTCGTGGACTGCTTCCATAGCAGTTGGCTGGAATGCGGGCGGGATGATGATGCGACTATCGAAGTGTGGGCATCTTTGTTGCCTTGAGAGATCAGTGCTCGGATGGACGTAATTGGCAACGGGGGGTGATGGCTTCTTCGGTCAAATGTTGTGAACGATGTGGTCCAGGACTTGAAGTAAGCAGTCGTCCTCAGTGGCATGTGCTACATTTGCGGCAGTGACAGATGAACGGTTGACGTTGTCGCGGAGGATGGGTTGACGTCCCTGGCGATTTTGGCGATTACGACGTCTTTTTCCAGTAGGAGTGAGCAAAAATGAGCGAGAGAGCGCGTCAGCTTGTCCAAAGCTGGTAGCGCTGCGATACTCGATGTCAAAATTGTAGGCGTACAGTATGAGTCTCAAGTCGGTTCGCCGAGTATGCAGGGACTCCTTTCATCGACCCAAAAATGGGAGTGGCTCATGGAGAAGGGTGAAGTGGCCTCCATAGATGTAGCGGTGAAACACGCGGACAGCGTAGATGAGCCCTTCTTTTCTATTTGCCCGTAACTTTTCTCCGTAGCGGTAAGAGAGCGGTTAGCGTGGTAGACGGTTTTCTCTGATTCATCTGGGTAACGATGGGAGATGACCGCCTTCACAGTGTGTTTCATAATTATAAGGTCACCCTCGATTTTTGCTATTCTGGAAATAGCAGCCAAAATGGAATTTTTTGGCAAACGCTGGCAGATTTCTTATCACAATGAACCTCCGTAAAAGAATTTTGGTCGCAATATACTTCACCTCAATTTTTTATGAATTTTCTGAAGATAGTGTTGGCTTTTGCACCGTTTCATAATTAAAAGGTCACCCTGAGAAAGTAAATGAGTTATCAATGTTAATGGCATATGTACAACAGTTAATAATCTACAGCTCCTCCTTGTTTAAGAGCAACATCAAAGAGCCTGCGAACAGCATACTAGAAACTGAGTTTCGAAGATGTTCCTCACCGATTGCTCTCCATGCTTCGATAATCGCCTGCTTCAGCTCTTCTGTGCTCTGGAACTGGCGGTTATTCGCACAAACCTGTCTGACTCTGACTATTATGCGGATTGAGTTCGGAACTGCAGGCTGGCCATGGCAGAACGCTTATGTTTAGGCATTGCAGCTACTCAGTAGTTGTACGGCTCACTGGATAGAGGCGTTGACTTGTTGAAGGACATAGTTGAGGTGACAGAAGGGGTGCTAGATGATGCTCCAAGACGTTCTGGTAATCTTTGGAATCCATTCTGCAGCTCACGAAGGCTAGATCCGACGCGACATCATTGGAGAATGCACCCCACACCATATGACTTCCTCCACCGGAATTGCGACGGCTGAAGTAGACTGGTTCCTTCCTCAAGTCGCGCCCATAGTACTTGTTTCCGTCAGGACCGACCAAGTTGAATTTCTTTTCGTCCGAAAAGGCAACCTGAATTGAAATTATTGAGCTGTATGGTGAAACTCAACTTTGCAAATTCGAATTTAGCCTCTTTGCAGCGATCGGTGATTCGCGGCGCCTTCTTCATTGCTTGCCTGGTGATGTTCTCGCATTTTCTTACTGCTATTTAGGCTGCAGTTTTCGACAAAGAGAGATTTAATTCCCACCAGATCGGGATCAAGGAGGAGGTACTATTGGAAACAGCGAAACAGAAAATCTTCCGCTGGCACGGACAGTAACCTTGCATGGGCGTCCACAGCTGCTGTTAGATATAAGGACATCGGGGCCCTCCAGAAATCTATGGATGGAGCAGAGGGATCTCCCTGTTTGCCTGAAAATGGCTCGCTTACTGAGCTCAACTTCATAAAAAGCCCGAATTTGAGCCTTCCCATCGAACGAAAGCAGACGACCACGAGCCATGTTGACAGTCAGGTTTGGAAATGTGTTTGCTACACGTGCTCACCCTTATAAGTGTCTTCAAACACGAAACTTCCTCTCCTCCAAGAATAATTATTCACTATCTTAAGGTGACCTTATAATTATGAAACGGCGCAAAAACCGATAAACTGCTCTAAAAAAGTTCACAAAAATGCAGCCGCTGCTAAAAAACGTGTAACCAGGTTATTCATGCTGGGGTATCCGTTCATGATTCTAGAAAAAACCATGAGTGGTTGCTTCTTCTGAGAGTGCAAAATTCGAGGGTGACCTTATAATTATGAAACGCACTGTATACCATAGTCTGAAGCGTCGGCCGCGACGACGATTGGTAGGTTTGGGTTGTAGTGAGTCGTCAGGACCAGGACCGACGAGAGCACTTCCCTGGCGCGTTCGAAAGCGGCGTCGCATTCGGGGTTCCAGTTGAATGGAGTGTCCTTCTTGAGTAGTGTGTCGAGCGGTGCACGGAGCTCTGGAACGAACGTTCCATATTAGTTGATGAGACCGAGGAACGACCAGACCTGGGCGGTATCCTTCGGTTTTGGCATCTGAGTAATGGCATCGATCTCCTTGGAATCGGGTCGGCGTCCGGCAGCGGTGATGACGTTCTCGAGGTAGGTCAGCTGGGTCATCGTGAAGTGGCACTTGTCGGTGCGGACACGGAAGCCGTATGCGGTCATCCTTGGAAAGAGGGCTTTCATGTTGGCGTTGTGCTCGGAGAGGGTGTGGCCGGTAACGATGACTTTATCGAGATAGGCAGCAACGCCGTTGAGTCCAGAGATCATGGAGTCGATAATCTGCTGGAAGATGTCAGGTGCTGACTTGACTCCGAATGGCAAGCGATTGTAGCGATAGAGTCCTCGATGCGTGTTGATTGTGAGGAGCTCCTTGGAGTCGAATTCGACCTGTAGGTAGGCGTCGGCGAAGTCTGTCTGGGAGAAGATGGTTCCGTCATTAAGTTTGGAAAGGGTGAAGAAATCCACTGCGGTGTGCAATGAGTGACGTAGCAGTGTGTCGTTGAGCCCAGTCGAAAAGTCGACGCAAAGCTGGATGGATCCATTGGCCTTTCTCACACAACGATTGGCGCAGCCCATAGCGAATGGTCGACGGCAGAGATGACATCCTGTGCCGCGTGTCGGTCGATCTTGGCGTCGAATAGCGGTATAGAGGCGTAAGGAACCGGCCTCTTCTCGATGGAAACCGGGTGAGCATCAGGCTCGAGTTAGAGCGGCGTCTTGCTTTTGGTACAGCGTCCAAGTCCCGACTTGGAGTGAAGTGGTGCTCCAGCGTGGCGATCGTCTTGTCTCGGATTGCGTCGTAATCCAGCATCTGTACCTTCTGGATCTTAAACCAATCTCTTCAGGACTTAGTTGAAGTCCGGGATATGCTTGATCCATGTGATGCCAAGAAGATCATAGTCGTCAGAGACGTAGCAGACGTCCTGTCCAGGATGAGCCCTTCCTTGGTTGTCCATAACCACGAAATTGACAGATCTTCCATGAATTGGCAATGGCAGACCGTTGGCTCCTTTGAAGACATCAGAGATCATCTGTAGACGCGGGCTTAAGAAATGCATCTAGGTTGGACGAGAGATGATGGTGCCGGTGTCCAAGTGGAGGCGAGTGGGATGTCCACTGATGTGATCTTTCAGGTACTATCGAAAATCTCCAAAGCGGCGCATGGCTCGTTGATACCATGTGCGAAACTTAGTGACTGCTTGGTGCGAGGTCGGTGCGCAGTCCTTGACTGCTGAGCGGCACTGGTAGCTTTGCGGTTTTGTGGACAATCTTTCTTCCAGTGCTGCTGTAGGGAGATCGGACATGGCGATTAATGGCGGAAGTCGGGGCTTGGTTGCGGTAGTTTTTTTTCTTGTGGACGGTGCAAATTCCCGGTGAGTTGGAGGCTTCGACGATTTTGGAGTCGTCTCTGACCGACTTCCAGGCTTCTTGGCCAGATCGTCGACAGTGGCCCTCCCGTCTTTGACCAGCTTGGAAGTGAACGCGGTAGTAGGCCAGCTCCGGGGCCTGGAAGGCGAACACCAGGGCTAGGCATTCTGGCCTATCCTGGCTGATGTCCTTTTTTGGCTTCCAGAGCGCGAGCCTTGAGTAAGTTGACGAAGTTGTCAATGTCTTTGTTGGAAGAAAGAGAAGTTCATCCAGAGGCACTCGACGGGATGGAAAAACGTTTTTCTAGGTATCGAATAGCTTTCGGTCTTCAGCGTTTCGACAGTGTCCGTCCAGTTCAAGTCTCTTGATTCCTCGGTCAAGATGTGGCGAGCGAAGCGAGTGCGACGCGAAGCGTTTAGCGCATAGACGATCAAGCGTGTCTTCTCCACCTCTTCCATCCCTGACATTCGACCTCGAAGACGTCCTTGGGCCGTTAAAGCATAGCTTGAAGCAATTGTCTTGTTCAGCATCGTAGGAGAATTTTTCGATTCTTCTCGAGATCCAGTCGAATAAACTGTCTTGCGGTGCAATTGTAAACGTTTTCATCTTCTGGAGCTGATCAACGAGCAGCTTCTATTGATTGGCAATCATCTACAGCATGTCCTCTTTCGGAGGTCTTCTGGCATTCCGGCGAAGGCGGCGTAGTCCTTCGAGTTGTTGTCCTGATGGCCAATTGTTGTATCCTTGGTTGGTCGGGTAGAGCAGGAAGCTTTATTAGAAGCCAAAAGAATGTACAAAAAAGTTACAGTTTGTATACCGCTCCGACATGCCAGATCTCCTGGCCAAACCGGGCGGATCAGTACAAAACAAGATCAGTTGTTCTACTAATATGAGATCACAGATGCTTGCCCCAACAAAAACCATGACGGGACAGGTTTTTAGATATACCAGACTTCTGAAAGCTGGAATGTACGCGCACGATGATTAATAGTGAAAGGAGTGGTTTCTGACCTCACGAATAAATGTCTCGAAAAGTGTTCCTTCGGAGGCGTGAGGCGCGCAGAGATACAAAGTGACTTCGGCCGTACAAAGGTCCCCACTCCCCCTGTACTTGAGAGTAACGATTACTGTACTGTACTTGTGCGATTACGGACTCAATGGATTCATTTATGCTGGCGAGGATGGAACTCTGAAGCGGAGCTCTCCTACAGTTGTAATTTTCCTGGGAATTATGCACCTTTTACTCGCTTGTAAACGGTATGCCGACAGCAATATGGACCTGCTTCACTGATGTTTCCCTCTCGCTGAAAGGTCCCAGCCGGTTAGCTACTCGACTACGTAGGGCATTCTCAAGTAGTGGACGAGGAATTGAGTTGCCGAATAAAATTCGCCAATACTTGCCCAGAGACATTGTTGGATACAAGATCTGCACTCCTATCCTCCTGGGCTAAGTCGATAAATGCACATTCTATTCGCATTCCCGCATAGGTTCGTGAAAAGTCTGCGAATGCAGCTATTATGCTGCCCATCGACTTAGCCAAAAGCTAGCATTCGAGTGACTGAGAATATGCGGGAGGCGATTCGTGGGCGCCTTAAAATCAGAGCTCTTCGCCCACTCCGAGATAGCCTGGCCAGCTACACCATCAACAAGCTTCCAAGTTAGAGTCTGGCAAGCTACTCGTGGGCACACATATGCCAAAAACAGTGATATGAATGGGTTTCATTCATCTGGACCTAAGGGAGATAGCAATACGGCAGCGTTGGGTAGGACCGCTTGGGATAGGCTGCCAAAGTCTCGGAGCCAAAAGAGGTTGCTCAAAAGGGGAAGGACCAAGTTGGCGATTTGTACTTTCAATGCACAGGCTTGCATCGGAAGCGTGTACAGAAGACTTGATGAGCAAGCCAGGAAGATCAAGCATGTCGTCATCGGACTGATAGAGACGAGAAGGCATCGCCCGCTACACGGTGTATCTGACACTGGAGAAGAACTGTTACTGGATTGTGCGATAGTAGAGGCATCGGCGGCGTAGGTGTCCTCGTCAACACGCACCTGGCCATGAACAACAGCAAAGCTTAAAAACCGAATCTGACGTTTGCGATTAAGAAGATGTGGCTCAACTCCAGCCCAAACAATCTTCGTTGCCTACGCACCAATCTGAAGATACGAAGAAACGGAGTTGGAACCGTTTTATGATTTGGAGAGGCCCTACAGGGAAGACTATACTTCTTCATATTCTTTCTTGATTTCAACGCCACGATTGGCCTCAGAAGAACGACTGAAGAGCTCCACATCGGGACTCACGAAATGGAGTGCATTGAGCAGGGTGAACGACTGTCCGAGTTTAACATGTCGACCCACACCATCCATGGTTACTCGCAAGTCCAGAAGTCTTCTTATTGCGATGGCCATGGGAGTCACCACGTGGACAGTTGCATAATGAGATAGACCACATCATATTCAATCGGAGATTTTGCGTGAAAGACGTCGCTATTGTCTGCCTCTCAGTAAGTGGAGCGAGAGCTATGAAGTTTAGCGGAAGACCTCCATCAAATGAAACCACTTCGCTTCCCTTGCAAGTGAATGGGAATTTCCGTTACCGACAACATCGATGAAGAATACAACCGGCTCGGCGAACATCTTCACGATAGTGCTAGAAAGGCAGAGAGTCTAAAAGTAGCCAAGAGGCGATTCTCTTCGGAGACTCTCGAGCCCATACGCCGGCGCGAAATCGCGCGAACTGTAGGCAATCATCAACAAACGTCTGAAGCTATGCAGAGAAATGATAAAGAAGGATCTGAAAGAGAGAAGAGCAGACGTTACGAACGAAGCCGCCGAGGCTGGAAAGATCATTCGCAAAGCCCGAGGTTTTGCTAATTACAACATCAAAGGACTTCCCTTCGTCAACCTGACGGAACAGTTACTGCATTTCGAAGGGCAATGGAGAAGGTCAACTACGACTTCTACTCGAATCTCCTCGACAGCACATCCACCTGCTTACTCACCATTTTCGGCGAGACGAATATATCGCTCCATCGGTTCTCCCTAGCGAACTCGACATGCCATCACGTCGATGAAGGATGGTTCCCATGGAATCAAACCAGAACATATCAAGTCTTTGTTGTCGTCAGAACTCTGGCTAAATTCTTCACGCGGTACCTGTCGGAATGCATCGAAGTATCACAGGAATACAGGGTGCAGCTATGCCTGACTTTCATCAATTTAAAGAAAGCGCTTAACAATGTCGAGACAGAAACGGTATTTGAAGCCATATGCAATAGGTGGGGATGCTCGCGAGCTCTACGATAATTTCACGACCAAGTTTCCATGAGGAGTTTGTCAACGTGAAGAGAGGGGCTCCGCAGGTCAGTACCGTTTCGCCAAAACTATCCACTGCCAATTCGGGAAAATCATGCATCATTTGGAATAGGCTGCCCTGGGAGTGAATCGATGAAAAGTCGATGGCTGCTACCCGCATCACCTCCGCTTTGCAGATGACATCGTGCTCACAACAACGAACATAGAGCGGATGGAACGAATGCTGACGGAATTTTACAGTGCTTGTGGTAAGATCAGCCCGAGACTGAACTCAACGAAGACGATCCTTACTGGAAACGAACAGGTACCTTAGGCTCGTTTTACGCTAAACAAATATCTCTAAATGCTCTAGCCACTTGTATCTAGGTCGAGAAGTTAACATGATGAGCGACCTAACTCTGAAGCCGATCAGGAGGGAATGAGCCGCATGGGCGCATCTTAGTGTATCGAGGGAGAAGTGAAGAAGATAAAGAACTCGACACTGTCCTTCCTGCTTTTACTTACGTCTCGAAGACTCGAGCTCGACGAAAGCAGTTTGAACATGTTGTAAACCTCGCTTAGCGCGCTGGGAAGGACAATGCTGGGAATTTCCCTATAGACTGAAGGAGGAAATCCACAGCTCCGAGCTCTGTTCACAAACGAAGATCAGAGATGCTGTTGCGCACGCTAAGAAATCGAAGATCTGGTGGGCCGGACACCTTACGCGATATCATGTTGACCGTTGGACCAGCGAGGGGGGGGGGGGGGGGGTGGTTTACTGGCTGTGTCCCTCGGGACGTCAAGCGAATACAAGGACGGCCGTTAGCGCAATGGTAAGACTCTTGTCGAAAGCTTTGCACGAAAGGAATTCTGAGACTCTTGCCCCTCTAGGTAGGACGGTCCTCTGTACCACACTGGCTCGCGACAGGGACAACGGTTGACATTACTGGTATCTGCTCGAGGAAATTGATGATCAACGGGACCACAGGTAATACAGCTGATGCCGATAGCAAATTGATCATGCAGCGCTAACAACCAATTAAGTCGCTTGCACCGAGTTGCGACGTGACATTGACGATAAGCCAGATTTGGAATTCGTACAAAAGTTCGCACATCGTCTGAGTATTGCTTACAGTGCCCGACATCTTTGTTTTGAGAATAACGGTGGCCATCAATGGCCTGGGTTGGTGAGCTCTACAGACTATAGATCGTTGTGCAGCCAACATTGACCACACTGAGCAAAACCACTGTGTCGATCGCGGCACGAATTTTTCGGTATAGCAGTCTCAATAGTCTGACCACTCATGACTACTTATTTGTTGGTGCCTACGCTGAACTTACTGTGTTAGATTATATCAATTTTGGTGATATGCCTGTTGAAATGAGAACTTTTAGTAAAGGTTATTTGAAAGCAAATTGATTTCTGCGCTAAAATATTCACTTCATTAATATCGCGCTTGTCACTCCATCGCTACAATTCTGTATCTTTTTAAACTGGGTGAGCTGTGAATTGCAAATTCATGATCGTGACGACAATAATATGTGACATATTGGCTGCCAGTGCCTCAAAATAAGGGTTACTTTAGCTTAGTCAGCAGTGCGTTATTCAACGAAATAAAACAACAACAATAACTTTCTCGATACATATGAGGCTTCAGGTACGGTGAACCCTGAAATGTTGGTTATACATGACATGATTAGAATGATTCTGATCATGTGAGTACTATAATCGCTTCTGATATCAATAATACAATCAACCAAGGATGTGATCGCAAAACAAACAAGTAACAAACAAATGAATACGGGCTAACAATATCTTCTAATTATCAAGAGAACCCAAAAAGGCTGTTCGCGTAAACCATGGGCGGAACCATTGGATGAGGTACTGCTTCAAACGTCGTGAATTTCGGCTAAACACAGTGGCATTACTGAAGATCCAGGAGAAACCGATAGAACGATGGGATAAAATATACCACGATCGACTTTCTTTTAATCTTGGCATAACCTTTGACTGATATGTATGTAATTTGCTACAGCCTTTCCAAGATTATAAACTTTATTGGCTAACCTTTCGGCGAGTTCGCCTTCGTCAGAGCCTGAAAAAGTCGAAAAACCATTGAGACAGACTCTATAATAAGGCGAGATAAACCTAAGACAGTTCTCTAGACTAGAGAGCCCTCGGACCCGGTATACAAGAAGCTCACCTTGATCTAAATCGCCGAAGCGTTAGATCGACCACCCAGTGTTTACAGTATGCGTACAATGAGCAAGCCTTCCTCCTTTCTGACCTCACCGTAATCTCAAAATTCGCAGAGGTCAGGAAAGGGCGCGATGTCACGGGTTGCGGCCGTACGCTTTTCCTTCCTGTTAATTTGCGGGTCTCTAGCTGCAATCCAACACGCCTCAAGTGCTTTCCGCGCAGTAGTCTCCGTTTCTAGTGCCAAGACGGTTACTGACATTCCCAGTGGTGTTTGGGTGCGAGACTTTCTTAGCCCCTCCAGGTGTTCTTTGATTCGGGAACGAAGGAGGCGTCCTGTTTCACCAATATATTCAGCACCACAGGCCTGGCAACGAATTTCGTAAATAACTCCTGCTCTCATGCAATCACCCCATCGATTGGAAGGACACACAAGGCAATCTGGTGTGTCATACGAGATGTCGTATAGGCGATTGCGGACCAGTT